GTCGTTTCACAAGGACCTCTCACCCGAGATTTGTCTTTGCCTCTCTTGTTTCATCTCCACTCGGAACTCTGGAAATATCAGGACTGGCTTCTTCCAGACCCAGTCTCTTCTCCAAACACTCCTCCCTTAACACCTGGGAGTCTAGTCTATTATAACACCCCAGAGGAGAAAGGGCCTCTTTCCCCAAAATGGGAAGGCCCCTATCCTGTCATTCTCTGTACCCCCACCGCCGCCAAACTCTCCTTACCAGACAACCGTCTCACTCCCTGGATTCACATTTCTAGGTTGAAGCCATATCACCAGGAGGCCCCACCTGCTGACGACAGGACCACCCCAGAGGAACTCCAAGAATCACCTCCTGAACCTCCCCTTTACTCCTGCTCTCCACACCCATCTCACCCCTTTAAGTTGCGGCTCACACGGTGTTCCCCACAGCCCAATTCCTCTTAAAGAAGGCACAATGAACTCTCCCAACACCCTGGTCTTCTCTCTCTGCTTGTTTTTTGTGCTCTGCTTATTTTCTGTGCTCTGTCGGGACTGGCCTTTACCCTCCTCTCCTACCATGTATTTATTCACTCTTCGGGAACGATACTCAGAACATGGCATGCAGAAGGTCCGCGCAGTGGATGCAACTACTTGCTTCATCCACAACTGCACTTCTATTTCCCTAAAATGGTCACCTTCAAGGACCTTCGTCCCTGGTAGCTGGAACTGGCCTTTCATTTGCTTCCTTTTTGATCAAACCAAAGACTATTGTCATTGGTGGCCTGAGATATATAATGGGTGCCCCTATTGGTCATGCAGGTTCCATGATGAACGTGGTAGCTATTCTTACCACTCACTTGGTTACCCTGAAGGGTGGACTTCTAGTTACCTAAAGTGGCATAAAGGCTCTTCATCCGATAACAATGGATGGTATACTTTAGATATACCTGACCCCAAGGCCAAACGTTGGGACTATGTTGAGTTTGCTGTCTATGCTCGGACAACCTCAGCCAGACCCACAGGGTGGATGACTGTTGGCCGCACCCTGATTACGCCACCTAAAGCAACCATCCAGGTAGTCGAAAACATCAAGGAGTCAGAATCAAAACTTTGAGATCTTATCCATAGCCCATCCAAAGAAGATTCAGAGCCTTCAACCCCCTTAGGCCCCCCTCCCACATGGATCAATTTGCTACACCAAACTCTTCAATTATTAAACTCCACCCCTCTTTCTGTGCCTACTTCTCAGTGCTTTCTCTGTGCTTCACTTAGTCGTCCACTTCTAGCAGTAGTCCCATTAGCGGCAGGAAATATTTCAGCAAAAACCTACAATTTCTCTAAGAAAGGACAACCCCTACATGTGACACGTATCCCACTGTGGGAAAGTTATTCCACCAATACTTCATTTCCTTTCATCTGTTTCCACCTGCCAACAATGAATCCTTTACCCATTTGTTCCTTGAGCTATAGCACCCCATTTAGCCCTGCGTTTATGCAACCTGGACATTTCCTCTGGTGTAACAGGTCTTTAAGTACCTCAACAATCAATGTCTCTGGCACCTGTTTCTTGGTTACTGTAGTTCCTCAGCTGTCTTTGTATACTCCCACCGAATTCCGGCAGCTGGCCCTACCTTCCCGCACCCGTAGGGCAGTCTTTCTGCCGGTTCTGGTAGGCCTCACTTTAACAACCTCAGTGGCAAGTCTCGGACTCTCTGGTGGAGCTATAGGTCATGCTCTATGGGCATCCAATGACCTGCAACAAAAACTGCAGGAAGCACTCGATACCACTGCTGAGTCTCTGGGCTCCTTGCAGCGACAGGTTACTTCATTGGCACAAGTGGCTTTACAAAACCGAAGGGCGATTGATCTTCTCACTGCAGAAAAAGGGGGTACATGCCCGTTCCTCAGAGAGGAATGTTGCTACTATGTTAATGAGTCTGGGCTAATAGAAAAAAAATGTTGTTAAATTGCAGGAATTATTGACCCAACTGCTCAAACCCACCTCCTCTAATCCCATAATGTGGTTCTTCCAATCCTCTCTTGCCACGTACTTACTACCTATCTTGGGGCCCCTTATTGGGATGCTCCTTTTTTGTGCTCTCTTGCCCTGCATAATGAAGTTCCTTCAAACCCAATTGCAAAAAATTTCTAATCAAACTTTCAACCAGCTTCTGCTTAGGCACTACCAGCCTCTGATGACCGATGAACCCCCAACATCTCCAAGAGAACAGTTCACTCAGTGCTGAAGCTCACTACCAGGCACGATGGAATGCAATGGACATCAGACAGCGGGAGAAAACGAGCTCGGAGAACCTCTTAATCTGCCATCCTGGATTCATGAGTCTTTATGTCCTTCTAAGCTTCCTCATGGCCCTTGGCCCCTTCTCTGTCAGTCCCCCAACATGGAACTTCTGCCAAAAATTGACCTTTGCTTTAATTTTTATCTTCATTCTGTTTTTATTCGCTCTGATCTTCTTCAGGTGCTGGTGACGCCATGTCCAGGCAACGCTTCCAGTATTTCCTAGAGTCTCTGTTACAGGACCAGTGGCTGATACCAACAATCTCCTCCATCCAGGACTGGTTCGATGCCATCGACAACTTGTGGATTCAGGGAACTTTCACAGACTTCACCCCTACAGAAGTAGCTGTCTATAGCCACTGGGTTTTATTTCTGGCTGCCACAATATCCCCAGACCTGCCCCCCGAGCATTCCTCCACTTCCCTTTCTAGGCCCCACAGCGCCCCCACACAGCAGGAAGCAGCCGGATCTGACCAAGGACGTCCCACTTCCTAAGAAAACAAAAAGGGAGGAATGTTGGGAAAAGTATAAACGGCAGCCATACCCCAGAGAAAAAAACCCAACACGGCGCCTAAGCACCTCTTCTTCCTACCTTCTTCTTTTCTGCAGTGGCGCAAAAAGTTCCCGCCCGTGTGAACTCTCCCGCCGGCGCCAATTTCAAATCTCGCTGGCGGGGAACCTTAGCCCCAATGAGAACTAATTCCTGGGCTCCGGAGCTGATATCTGAAAGAACTTGCCAATAAACGGGTTGCCTGCCATTTATCTAAGCCCTACCATCTCCCCCTTAGTTCTATATAAGCACACTGCTTTTTGCAATAAAATTGGAATTCTCCCGGCGAAGTGTCTTTGCGTGGGGAATTCTTTCAGGGGCAGCATCCTCTCCACTCTTGGCTTCATTTTCATTTATTTTTAACTTGCTGTTGGTGCTACACCCTGCCCTGAGTGCTCCTGGTCACACCTACGAAGCTGGCATGAAGCACATCATGGGTAGCAAGGCCTTGCAGAGCCAGGAGTGACTCTTGTAAACTGTGTGTGCTTGGGAATGTCATTGCACCTCCGAGATTCCCTATCAGATAAAGGAGAATATTAATGTCAAGGTGATGGGAAATGATAAGGTGCTCCAAGATCAGGACCACACCTCCCTCCCCAGACCTTGGAGCATGTGGCCAGGTTCATTTCCTTCTCCAGATCATGTCATTGTTATTAGTGACACAGCAAATAACCTGAATGCCATTTCCCAAGGGCCGTGAATGCACATGTCCTCAGAGGTCAGACTGGCCACATGAGTAGGGAGGACCAGAGTGGGAAGGGTGTGAAGTGGGAAGAATATGTCCACGGGCCCAGTCACGCCAGATCCTCTGGTGAGTTCTAAAGAGAAGTTGAAAACCCTCTTTTACATAAAGTCTATTTTTCAATATGGAGTGAATTTGAAATTGGAGAGTACTGTGCCCCACAGAACCTTCCTCCAGGCCCTCCAGCTGCGCCCCTGGGCATCCTTCAGCACCTTGCCTCCAGGCTCCTTCCCAACACTAAGCCCTTGCCTTCTCCTCTCCAAAGCTGGAAACACGTGCGGCCTTTTCCTGGTGGGGATCCATGGAAATCCCAGAGGCCCTCCCCAGGAGGCTTCTAGGACTGCCCCCCACCCCCCTGCATCCCTCTCTCTTGCTCTCAACTGCTTCTGCTGGGATCCAGCCCACAGCAGCTGCAGGGCTGGTGTTTCAAAGAGGGTTCCTTCAGAAGTCATGGAACAGAGTCTGGGGGTGCTATTGAGAGGAAGATGTCAGGCATAGAAAGACCAGCCCCCCAAAATCTGGAGTCATGAATCCTGGTTCACGTCACAGTCTGAGGCTGCACTGTTGTTCATAGTAAAGCAGCCAGTCCCCTTGCTTGCTGTCCTCACCACTGAAGTGGGCTCATAAACCTCTCAGCTCAGGCCGTTTGTGAGGATTAAGGCAAAGGCAAACCCTGGCTCCTGTAAGACCCCTACTGTGCTCCAGGGACTTACTAGTCTTCAGGTATATTACCTTTTGGGTTCCTGCTTGTTTTCTGTGTGTGTGTGTGTGTGTGTGTGTGTGTGTGTGTGTGTCTGTCTGTCCTTTAGAGGTAAATTTTGTATTATGTAATAATAGTTTCAAATGAAAGGTATCATTTCAGTACTATGTGCCAGGCACTGTTCTAAGTAACACTTTACATGTATTAACTCATTTAATTCTAACAACAACCCCAGAAAACAGACACAGCACTGTTACCATCCCTAAATTTCCACAAGCCAGCACAGAGTCATTAAGTGACATGCTCTCGATCACAGGACTAGAAAGCAGCAGGGTTAGGGTGGAACTGCCCCAGCTTGGCTCTAACCACTAGGCAGCTTGCAAATATTGAAGACAACACTTGACACAGAATTAAACACACAGTAAAGGTTAGCTACTATTGTTATCATCATGATCACCCATTTTCAGGAGAAGGAATTGAGGCTTAAGCCAGGAAACTCCCCTGACCTCCAGTCAGTAGACAGCAACCCGGGGATCCAAACTCAGGTCTAAGCCTCCTGTTCTCTCCACTCCTCTAAGCTGTGGTGGGTCCCAGGATCCAGCCCTGAGCCTGTGGGAGGAGCCCAGCCCTGGATTCTGAAGCATCTTCCCACAGCCCTGCTGCTCCCTCAGGGTGTGCAATGGAGGCAATGGAGGCCAATCCCCTTCTCTGGCCTTTCCTGCAGGTTCACTCTGAGCCTGAGGGATGAGGCCTCTCGCACTCCTGTGATGCTCAGGGCATCCTTCACAGACAGAACGCTGGCCTGGGTCTCACCCTGGGGATTCAAGAAGCTCATCTCAGCCCCTTTCCTTTTTTACCCCCAGCGGTTCTTCGAGGTGGGTCTGATCCTAGCAGCCACTTCCCTCCAGGAGGGAGACCACAGCTGAATTCCCAAAGTGGTCGGAGACTGGGGCACATCCTGGCAGGGTAGATGTCATGGGGCCAGGAAGCCAGGCCAGCCCAGCAGAGGGTACATCTAGGCATTGGCCCTCAGCCCTCCACACTGATGCCGAGGTTCCTGTGCCCAGAAACTCTGGCATAATGAATGCAGGTGGGGCCCAGCATCCTTTTGTTCAAAAGCTCCCCTGATGATTCCAACATGCGGCCAGAGTGGAAAACCGCTTCATGAAGCAAGCCCAGTTGTAGAAGGCCAACTAGGCCCAGGGTCAGTTAAGAGCTCTGTGGAAGGTCACAGTGCACTGGTGACAATCTAGGCCTTCCTCTAAGGGAAGAGGGTCTTGATGGGCAGCACGGCAGGCAGGAAGGGAGGGTCTGCCTGGAGTCCCACACCCACTCAGGCCCTCCTCACCAGGTGCTGCTCCTGTGCCAGGAGGGAGGGCTGAAGCTGGCACTCAATGGACAGCCGCTGGGGTCCACCAACCTGGACCAGCAGACCCTGGAGAGGCTGCGGGAGGTCCGCATCAGTGGAAGCATCCAACTCTACTGTGTCCATTACTAAGGAGGATTCCAAAGGGACCCCGGCCAGAGAGAGGATGGCCAGTCCACTCCCAGGGCCTGTGGTGGGGCCCCACTCTGCTGCCTTCATTAAACTGTCCTCCTGTCACCATCATGTCAGGCCTGGCTCACTTCCGGGTCACAAGCCTAACTCTGCAGGGGAGCTGGGCCTACAGTAGAGGAGGCACTGGGTGTAAAGGTGCCCCCAACTCTGCTCCTACACCAGGGGCCCAGATTGGGCTCCATCTTCCTTCAGGGCCTAGAGTCCCCTCAGGCGGACAGGTTTTGTGGCCTAACAAGAGAACTAAAAATACACTTTAAAGAATTCAGACATACATTGTTTTCACTCTTATCTAGAGGTTCTGGGGAAGTGGCCCCTCCTCCCCTGGAAGTTCCAGGCCTTGTCTTTGACATCACTCTGCCATGCCCAGGGCATAGGCATTGGTCTGTGGTTGGAGCTCTGCTGCTGCCCTGTCTAGATTTCAGCCACTGCGAAGCCAAGGAGAGACAAGACGCCCTGATTTCATAAGCCCCGTCCCAGGATTGATGCACACCATCTACTCTCCCACTGCCTGGGCTCACAGAGCCTTCGTCCACAGTGACACGTGGCATAGCGGCTCATGATTTTGGCCAAAGTAAGTCACAGGGCCACACTTCAGAAAAGCACACTAACAACCAGCCCAGAAAGGGAGAGAACCCCATGTCTGCCAGTTAGCCACAGGGTGCCATAGCTCCTGAGTACAGTCACATGCCGCAGAAGCACATGTCAGTCACCTGGGTGCACAATCCATGGAGGTCCCACGAGATTGTCTCCCAGGCTGGCACGTTGTGCTGGACCATCTGGGTTTGTGGAGGACACTCTGTGGTGTTCCCACGATGACAGAATTGCAAACAATGCATTTCTCGGAGCTTGTCCTCATCATTGAGTGACACGTGACTGTATTTATCAGATTAAATAGAACAGGGGAAAAAAGGAAGGATATAGAGAATTTGAGTCATATAATCAAACAGCTGAGGTGAATAAGTACTTTTAAGAATTGGTACCCTACACACAGAGAGCAATGCTCTCAATATCCTGCCCTGTATCCACTTTCCAAGGCTGACCAGGAAAAATCTTAGTACATTCCCCAGACCAGAGGTTCCATAGCAAATATGCCCTGATTATAGTCCAGTAAAACTTGATATCAATGAGAAAGATAACTGACAAGTGGCCACCTAGAAACTGAGGCACAGGTTTCTGGATAAGGTCCAGGTCAAAGTTGAGAAGATAAAGGGATGGAAGGGGGGGGAAGGCAGAGCCCCAGGCCCAAGCAAAGCAGGGAGCAGGCAGCTCAGCCCCGCCCAGCCTGCTGAGCTGGGCGCAGAGCCCGTCCTTGGTCCTCATCCCCTTAAAGTAAGCCTTACAACACCATAGGCCTTCCAGATGTCCTCAGCTGTTTTTGACCTTTTAATTCTCCACCAGAATTTTTGGAGTAAACTTGTCAATTTCCACTAAGTTTTTCTTTGTTTGGTTTGGTTTTTCTTTTTGGTTAGAATTGAATTGATTGTGTGGACTTTGGGGACGAGGGGACTCTGCATCTCTACATTGGTTCCTTTCCATCATAAACACAGTGTCTCTCCCAATATATTGAGCTCATCTTTTATATCTTTCAATTAGGTTTTATTTATTTTTTATAAATAATAGTCATTATATTTATGTTCAGGCCCTTTATACTTTTTTATTAGTACATTATAGTTATTCATAATCTCGGGGCTCATTCTGACACGATCATAGAAACACGGAACACAATTTGCTCTACTCCACCCCCAGGGCTTCCCCTTTCCCTCCTCCCCTCCCTTCCTCTGTTCCCTTTCCTCCACTCAACTTCCTTCTATATATTTATAGATTTTTTTTTCTTTTTAAAATTTGTACTTGGTTGATACTGATACAAAAATGTACCTAATTTATGCATAATTGTCTTATTTCTAGTAAAGTTGCTGGATTATTTTAGTACTTCAAAAAGACAACCATAGGGCTGGGGATGTGGCTCAAGTGGTAGCGCACTCGCCTGGCATGCGTGCGGCCAGGGTTCGACCCTCAGCACCACATACAAACAAAAGATGTTGTGTCTGCCAAAAACTAAAAAAAGAAAGAAAGAAAGAAAGAAAGAATAAAAAGACAACCATAACACTTGCAAAAAAATTGATTTGTGATTTCTTCCTTTTAATCATATCTCACACACCCACAGTCTCCTCCTCCCTTCTCCTTCCTCCTCCTCTCCTAAATGTACTACATTGGCCAGAACTCCCCGACCAATGTTGAATAGAAGGCCTGTTAACCAGTATCCTTGATCTGTTCCTGACTTTAGGGAAATATTACTAATATTTCACCATTTAATATGGTGATCATGATAGTGTTACCGCTGTTGACCGGTGACGAGTTCTTGCTTCCCCAGTGTTGAAGAATAACACCAAAGAAGCATGCCAAGACAAGGTCAGAGTAGAAATTAGAAGTTTATTAAAGGACAGCAGAAAAGACTTCTCCCGGAGGAAGAAGGGGACCCAAGAGGTGGAATCCGTGGAAGGGATGTTGTCTCCCCTTTTTATAGTTCTTTCAGTGATGGAATGCAGGTGGGAAGGCCCGAGGGGTGGGACACAGGTGGGCCAAAGAAGTAATCTGGTCAGGAAGGACTTCTGAGTCAGCACCTTTTTGCTGGGGGCTGTTCATTAACATTTCTTTGAGGTGGACTTTGGCCTAGGGCCTTTTCGGGACTTCATTCCATGAGTTGTCCTGTGTTTCCCGGAATCATTGCCAGCATGGCCTCCATTTTAGACCCAATTTATCTAACTACACTGACTACCTAACTTTAAATCTGGCTTCATTCCCCCCTCTAAGTTGGGAACTCCTTACTGCTGTAAGGAAGGGGGGCGAAGAGGATCTTTCTGGCTTCTTCAGGCTGAAAAGGGACGATGTGGGGCAAGCAGTTTGGAGTCCCCCTTTAAAAACCGGGTCTATCGAGTGGTCCATGATAGAAGTCTGATTGAGAAGTAATAGTCTGAGGGCCATTTGAGTGATGGATGGTCTATAAGAGAAACAAGAATTTCTTAGTACTGGAACCATATCGATGCAGCAATAAATGCCATACCACAGGAATATGCCAATGAGTATGATGGCAAAGACAAAGACTAACAATGTTTTCCACCAGGAAGTACCAAGAACCAGGAGCTAAGATATTGTTTCCATGACAGAGTTGCTGAGGACATGGCTTCTATCTGAGCATGTAAATCTTTAAGGACATTTGTCACATTGCCAGAAATCTCAGGGATGTAAACACAACATTTAACTTTTAGGGTTACAGACGTTTTTTCCCTTAAGATATAGTTTAATAATTTAATGTCATCTGATCTTGCAAAATTTTTTTACTAGTATGACCTCTGTGTCTAATAGAGAAATCTTTAATTTTGTTACTTAGGGCTGGATAACCATACTAGCAAACACTAAGCCTACCTGTGTAGGTTAGAAATAAAGGCCTTAAACTAAAAACTACTCTGGCAGTTCCTTTTGATAGTTACCAGGCATTCCTGTCTGAGAATCTCTTTTGTAGCCTCCAGTTTACTTATTTTTGGAAGTTACATTTAACTATTATTATTATTATTTAAAATGTCCAGGAACAGCTGTGCTTTGGCTTTGACTGTCTTTGCTAAGTGTTTAAGATGAAGCAAGTCAAACTGACCTTTGTTTTTATCTATTGTTAACAGTCAGCTGAGCTTCCCTGGGAGTCCTCGGGAACTTCACAGCAGCTTCTCAGTTCTGCTAGTGCCATTGCGCTAGGATGGGTCCAGGCCTTGCTTGACCATGTGGCTTCCCTTGGAAGCATCAGGGATGTCTCCCTTTTTTGATGACCCTCCTCTTTACAGCAAATGCACTTATTGGCTTTCTGTCCTCCACTGGTCTCATTAATCTCCCTGATCAGGAGGTTATGTGGCCTAGAGTTGCAAAGCTCTTTGGAGAAGTCCCCTATTCCCTGATTCAGACTGACTTAGAGGGCAAGAGCCAAATATTGGTTTTTTTGGCCCTTTTAATTTAACTTTAATTTTAAAACTTAATCTTAAACATCTAGCAAATAAGTTTCAACAGCCTTATACTAAGAGTACTGGGCTTTAATGTCTATCTCTCTCTCCTGTAGGTGATAACTCCTTATCTTAAATTAACCCAAGTTGTGTGTTCTTAAAGCAGTACCTCTGCAAAACATTAACAGGCAATCTTAAATCATTTATAAGAAAACTACAAAATAAAATTATCAAGAGTAAAAACATATTTAGCTTATATAATAGCTACCTTGAATTTTGGCAGGGTTATACATTATAATCCCTTGTTTGAGATCCTGGTAATCGTGACAAAAACCAACTTTTGGACACAACTTTAAATGTACTGAAATCTGGCCTACTTCTTCCATAGTCACTTTCACATGTAGTGAGATGGGACAGAGCCTTATCTCAAGTAAGGCAGGGCTCTTCATAAATCTTAAGTACTGTAGTTCTGAAACTGATTTTTGTTTTTTAAACATCATTTTACAAAGTCTACATAAATTGTTGTTCAAGTTTACATGAATATTAGCTAACACAATATAATATCACACCTAAAACATGAATTAAAGAAAGGCTTAAAGTTTTTAACCTTTTGTAGAAAAGTAGTAATGTACTTTTGTGTTTTGCAATAAAACCTTCACACAGATTAGGCTCTTATTAACTTAAAAATACATTTAAATTGTATCTCAGTGTAAAAAGTAACATAGAACTTTACATATCTTATGGATAACAAGTCCAGTTATAGAACACAAATGATATAAATTAACATGTTTTTCTTTTTAAATCTAAAATTACCATACAATTTTAGAACACCAGTTTGATATAATGCTCTTTTTAAAGCTTCTACCTTACAGACTTGTATACCTGGAAGATATGGACACATTAACACCACAATTACATTGATGTTTTTATATTAACCAAGTTTAGCTTTTAAAGAAATAACAGCACAATTTTCTAAAACAACAGCACTTGTTTGACCAGCTGTTTAATTTCTTTAAGATTACTTGCTCAAAAACTTACACTTATAAGCAACTTACACAG